AGGTCGTAGAGTCGGGAGTTCCAGAGTCCCACCACTGGCTCTCACAGCGTCCCAGGGTCCTCCGATGGCTGGTCTTGGGTCTTGGGTCTTGAGCTACGACTGGCCCCGATCGTCCAGGGAGCTCCACTTTTATGCCTGGTCCAACGAGGGGTGGGGCCGTGTGCGCCCCCAGATATCCCACAGAGCACACACAGCCCCCCCCCCCTCCCTTGGCGGCGCCAAGGGGATTAAGCGCCTGGGATCCCAACGCCTGACGCCAAGAGGCTTAAGCATCTGACCCGCCCAGGGACCCAGAGCCCCCAGCAGCCCCTCCCTTCTTATGCCACTACATATGGCGTGACCCGTATTTGCTTCATCTAAAACAATGCTACCCTGTGTCAGGGTTTGGCCAAAAAACGGGGTAAAAGATCGTGCTCTTATTTTGGTTGAACACTGATTGGTATGCGATGTGTCGATAATAGAAACGCTATGTAATCAATAAAATGTGGAAATATTGATGGTCACTTTTCATCCCCCCCAAAAATGTACATGCCATTTTTGGTAAAAAGAAATCAGAGCACAATGTTGCTCTGATTTAATAAAAGCTCATGATATACAGAGACTTGATACTGCATCACATACGCTGCGTGATCTATAAAATGTGTAAATACTGATGTAATTTATTTAAGCGAAAAATTTGAATGAATATGTGACAGCATTGTTGCTGTAATGTTTTGTTGCAAACTGATTTTATGCAGTGTATTGATGCTAAATATGCTAATTTAATCAATACAAATGCGCAAACATTGATGTTCATTCCTCGTCCTGAAAACACGGTTATTGTGCATCTGAAATGCATGAGAACAAATGTGATTTTATTGAAGCGGAATGTTTTAGAGGAAGGTTCTCGAAGGTTCTGGGATACACGCATACCACACGGTCGCTCACCACACAGCAGACATTCCAATGAATTAAGCCAAACGCATCGTAACTGTTCAAAATACACCGACCAAATTAGATGCACCTCAACCATTTAAAACGCATCCGGTCAATTAAACTACGTGAAACAAATGCAACTCCGTCAATTAAAATAGTTTCGCGGATATGAATAATATCGTCTCGCTGAAATCCGCGAAACAACACACAAGCCGGGGCTCAACTCGCTCCCGGCGATTATATCCGCCTTGTGTGTGTGGGGGGGGGGGGGTAAAGGTGACGAGCTGTGGTTGTGAATGCTCGAGGTCTCGAAAACAGCGGAGTGGGCCGTCCCAGTCTCGGCGCGAGCCGTAGAATTTGGCTCTAATGAGGTGACCTGGCATGGCAGGGAGCTGCAGAGAGACGCACACCGACACACAAGCACCGTTTGCCGTCGTTTGTAGCCACGCATGCCTCGAAGCGCGGCGTTCGTCCATAATTAAATATGCTAATTGTAATCACGATATACAGACCTTGGGTGATTGCCCCTAATTACCGGCGGTGCTCGCTCCGAAAAAATAGGTTAATAGGTTTGATTGTGTTATTGCGTTGGCGGGTTAATGCGCCGCTGAAGCAGGCGTGTGACCTTTGTGGGCCCGCTGGCTACGGGACACCAGCGGCGAGTGACAAGACACCAACGAGTGGGATGGCTGTCACCCGCCGAGTGTGATACCCCGTGCGAGTGCGTGAGCATTTTTACCGACACACAAGGCGGTAAAAATTAACCCGTAAAAACAAAGTTTTTCACTATAAACCCTTTATATGCGTGGCGGCTAGAGTCCTCTCGTCCTCTGGCTTGAGATGGCTACCACCTATGGGTCAGATGATTGCCTGCCACCATTAAGCAATTGGTAATTAAATATAATTACTTTTTTCCTAAAAAGTGTACAATTTTTTTAAATTTTTTTTGAAAATAAATTGTCACGCACAACGAGTCTGTGTGCAAAATGTCAGCTCTATTGGATCACGGGAAGTAGGTTAAAAAACGACCGAAAGATTTGCACGGTCGTAAGCGCGCAAGCAAGCAAGCAAGTGAACTTAATATAAAGGATTTAAAAAGTGACACACAAGACGGGGAGGGAGGGAGGGGGGGCATCGCGTGTTGTTGTTGTGCGCGCGCTGGCATTACACACGGCATTGTCAGCAGGGCCATTAGGCTCCGTTTGCTGTGACGAATGCGCGTTGGGGAGAGACGGCGGTGGTGTCGCTTCTTGAGACGTTATTCCGCCCGCAAAACGCCTCCTCCTTCGCAAAGAGCGACGCCCGCAAATTGATATTCTAAGCTGTGGCTCTGTAATTTAATAACAATTTAATATCGGTAGAATTTTAAACAAAGTAATATTAATCTGCGAGTTACATTTGATCAATGTGACTTTGTGGGGAGAATATTAAATGCGGATATGCAAATTGCAGTTCCTAAGAATGATGCATGCAGATGTCAGGAAAAATGGCATCGTTATTGTTATCGTGCATGTGTGTGTGCAACCTAATCTAACACGTGTGCCAGCTGAAGCAAAGTGAGCCCATCAGCCGTTGCCATGCAGATAAAATCACCACCTCATCCATCTTACCAGACAGATTTGGCCGAGATAACGTGAGCCAAATATATACAAACGTTATAACGAAAATAAAAAGCAGAGTTGAACCTTAACCTTCAAGGTTTGGGAGCCATCCACGTAATATCACCTTGGTGATTCACCGTTTCTCGCGGGCAAGAGTGAGAGGGGGGGGGGGCAGCCAGGTGCTTTGGGGGGCAGAAGGGGTCTAGATGACAGATAAGCAGGGTTACACCACGAACACCCGGACTGGAGCCGTCTGGAGCTGGAACCGGATTTCCGAGTGGAGCGAATTCATGGCGCCGGCTCACGGCTTGCCAATGACTGCACACGCACAGACAAACCCCATCGTGCACACATTTGCTTGTTCACTTGCTGCGCTGGGAGGTAAACATACGGGTTGAATTGAAATGCAACATGTACTCTTCCGTTTACAGTCCTGTGTATATATATAGGAAACGGTGCATCTCCAGTGTAGACAATGAGCCTATGAAAGGGACTTGGAGAAATTGGTTTGTTAAGTCGTTTTCCGCGGTTGTTTTGTTGTTGTTGACGCAAGGCTCTTCTCTGCGTGAGATCCACATGAACATGGCCTCATTTTAACGTGACGACGACAGCGGTGATAGAAAACGAAGACTCAGAATGTCGAATAGATGGGTCTCAAAAGGGCCTGAGAATGTTGCCCTTAACCCTCCCCGGCAGCCGGGAGAAACGGCCCCCCACGCTGCGTAAGTTCATCCACCTCGAAGCCTGCCGCCTGGATTTGGGGCGTGCGTATCCTGGTCGGGCTTGCGTGTGCAGACTTAGGGGCCGTCCATAAATGACGTCACGCACCTAGGGGGGGGGGGGGTCAGAAAATCGGCAGGTCACGTGACAGCGTGTCAGCCTGGTTTCAGCAGTAGAGCGAGGGCGTCGAGGTGGCGGTTTCACGGACCCACTTGCTGTGCTACCGTCGCCTGGCCTGCACTTGGACAGGACAGTTTCACAAAAAGCCAAATCATGAGTCAGGACAAAGTCCACTTCATACGTCTGCGAACTGCCCATATAGGACTCACCACTGTGATCTCTACATTGGGTCAAACTTAACATTTCTGAATGTTCGACGGCTTGTGCACCAGATCTTATTTATTCATGATGTACTTGCAAAAAAATCCGCAGATTACCTGCTGGATCTCCTCTCTGTTTCAAAGAACAAATTTGACCTAAGATCTACACTCATTTACCAGCTTCATATTCCCTATTGCCGTACATATACTGGAGGAAGGGCCTTTGCTATTGATGCCCACAGGGTCTGGAATGCTGTTGCCAATAAATTGCAACTTGAGTCACTACCTATGAGATCTTCACTCAAAACTGCTCTAGAGGAGTTGTACACCCCTAGCTGCCAGTGCTATTTAGTGGCCTAAAATAAAATGTTTCGCTCCGGATGATCGCTACAAAGTATGACCTGTGTTTTGATTTAGTGTGCTGATCTTAAAGGTGCATTGAAAAATTATAATACTCCGATTGATGCTCCTGCTGTTGTGGAGTGACTCGTGCAGCCAGCTATGGCTGCAGGGTTTTGGTAGTACATGTTGTTTATGCCATTTATTGTGAAATTCCGTCACAGTTCCTATGATCACTGTTTAATTGCTTTCATGGCTTTATTTTGGTGATTTCGAGAAGTGTATTGGTTTAGCCATGTTTGTTTGTTGTAGTACAGAGTTAGACTGATGGCCTTAATCTAAGTTGTCTTGTGGTTGTTGTTGGTTGTTTGACTTGCATCCCACTGGGATTTTTGCACACAGCGTTGGTGTACGGTGATTTTTTTCTGCAATATTTTGCTGTCTTTTCTTGGATTTTCTGTTTGCACTTAGTCATATTTGTTCATGTTTTTGTTTTTTGTTTGTTGCGGTTGCACCCGATTCAAGAGCCGAATGGCTCACAGGGCTATACCTAATAAATGAACTTGAAATTAAATTGAAGTTGAACCCACCGTGCTCGATCCATGCTGTGTTGTGCCTTCAATTGCGGGTATTGTGTATGGTTTAATGTTTGTTAAATTCCACAATATAAATGAAAACAACGGACAACGATGGTATAACCAGAACTCGCGTAACACTCACGCGTTCCTCGTGGGCTGATGACCCAGATTCAAATCACGGATCACATTGCTGATAACTTATAAATGACGTGATGACATCGTCGAACTTGATTGTCGTTCCACGCGGACACGGTGCAGACTCTAAAGCACGTGGGGCTCTGTGACGTCATCGATACTGATTGGTCGAGTGGGTAGCACGTGGGGCAGCAAATCACGGAGTCCCGAGTTCAAATCCAGCCTTTTAATTGTACATATTTTTTGGCAAATTGAATCACAAACGTAAATGAAACTTTTACTTTTATTTATTTTATTAATATCAAACAACATGCAGCAACAACACCAAAGTTAAAAACCTCATTGATATAATACACGCAACAGTCCCATTCCCAGGAGTCCGTGTAGTGTAATGGTATTCCACTGGGGCGTTAGAAGCCGAGGAGCGGGGTTCGAATCCCACTTTAGATTTTTTGCTGATTTACTAACCACGCAGTGACGGTCGCTGCCTGTGTTTCGACAGCCAACGTGCGCGCAGTGCAATCACTACACCGCGCAGAGCCCCGTGTACCTGTGTGAAGACTCGGTGGCGCAAGGCGATGCGAGACAACACCCGCATGCGACGGGAGTTAAAAGGCGCGAGGTTTCAAACCCCGGTAAAGGTGAGTGATGCATAAACACAAAGTGTGATTGTCTTAATATGTGAACGTATTGACGTGACGTGTGTGTCTGATATGTGAATGTACTAACATGCGTTGTACGCTACTGTGTGAGTGCAGGCCGTGTTGAGAACATGGAGCAGCCCATGGGGGACCAGCTGCGGAAGGGAGACCTGGAGCAGAGAGAAGGAACCGAGAAGATGACTTCAAAATATATTTTTACATGACTATGAAACAGTTGACCACTAGAGGGCGCTGTTTCACCACTAGGGGCGCTATTTACAACTAGGGGGCGCTGTTCTATGGACATACCCATTCAAAGTGTCACTTTCTTGGAAATAAATGCATTTACAGCGGATACTCAACGTATTGCAGCTTTAAGTCATGGATTTCCGCAAAATCGTGGAAAAGCCTGCGAATAATCAAGCAGTCACGTGGCAACAGTAGTGTGCACCCAGCAAAGAGGGCGCGACAATTGCTAGATTTTTACATTAAATTGCTGTTTTCACGACAAAATACAACTAAAAACATTATTTATCGAAGAAAAATACCATCAAACATTACCAAATCCACTAAATAGAGTTAATGCTTTAAATCACACACCATCACAACCAGGAGGAGTGAAGAATGGTCAAGTCACTCCCCTATGACACACACACTGCAAAAGGCCCTCTTCCAGCAGTGGATTGACAAAAGTCATGCAGCTGTACACACAGCGACCAGCAACGGGTTCCAACGGAGTGCAACATCACCAAACCAACTACATTCAGCTGCGTACATCTTTAAAACCATTAAAAGTTCCATGCTACGGTTTTTTTTTACGAAAAAATACGACTAAATGCAGGACTTTCCAGCTTAAGAATGGCATCTAACATGAAACACATACTCCTACGTGTGAAATCCCGTTGTGAAAAATCACATTGAGCGAACATTAATAGAAACGATTCTCTCCCTTACCTCTCCTCTCTCACCTCACTCCACTCTCCTATCGTTCTCTCCCCCCACCTCTCCCCTCTCACCTCACTCCACTCCACTTACCGTTCTCTCCCCCACCTCTCCCCTCTCACCTCACTCCACTGCCCTCACCGTTCTCTCCTCCACCTCTCCCCTCTCACCTCACTCCACTCCCCTCACCGTGCTCTCCGCTCCAGCAACCCCAAGGTTGCTCTCCAAGCCCCCTAGTGAAGCTCCCCTCGACGGGATTTCGCTGCTCCTCGTCGCCCTCGCCCGCCCGCCTTGAGAGCCCCGGTGTGGCCTGGCCGTGGCCACAGCCCCTGGCTGTGGCAACAGCCCCTGGCCGTGGCAACAGCCCCTGGCTGTGACCACACTCCATGGCTGTGGCAACAGCCCCTTGCCGTGACCACACTCCCTGGCCGTGGCAACGGCCCCTGGCTGTGACCACACTCCCTGGCCGTGGCAACAGCCCCTGGCCGTGGCAACAGCCCCTGGCCGTGACCACACTCCCTGGCCGTGGCAACAGCCCCTGGCTGTGACCACACTCCCTGGCCGTGGCTACAGCCCCTGGCTGTGGCAACAGCCCCTGGCCGTGACCACACTCCCTGGCCGTGGCAACGGCCCCTGGCTGTGACCACACTCCCTGGCCGTGGCAACAGCCCCTGGCCGTGGCAACAGCCCCTGGCCGTGACCACACTCCCTGGCCGTGGCAACGGCCCCTGGCCGTGACCACACTCCCTGGCCGTGGCAACGGCCCCTGGCCGTGACCACACTCCCTGGCCGTGGCAACGGCCCCTGGCCGTGACCACACTCCCTGGCCGTGGCAACAGCCCCTGGCTGTGACCACACTCCCTGGCTGTGACCACACTCCCTGGCTGTGACCACACTCTCTGGCTGTGACCACACTCCCTGGCTGTGACCACACTCCCTGGCTGTGACCACACTCCCTGGCTGTGACCACACTCCCTGGCTGTGACCACACTCCCTGGCTGTGACCACACTCTCTGGCTGTGACCACATTCCCTGGCTGTGGCAACAGCCCCTGGCTGTGACCACATTCCCTGGCTGTGACCACACTCCCTGGCTGTGACCACACTCCCTGGCTGTGACCACACTCTCTGGCTGTGACCACACTCCCTGGCCGTGGCAACAGCCCCTGGCTGTGACCACACTCTCTGGCTGTGACCACACTCCCTGGCCGTGGCAACAGCCCCTGGCTGTGACCACACTCTCTGGCTGTGACCACATTCCCTGGCTGTGGCAACAGCCCCTGGCTGTGGTAACAGCCCCTGGCTGTGGTCACCTGAGGAGTCTCCCCCCGGGCCTCTTCACCGCTCTCACCTGCTTCTAACTCAGGGGATTAACTCGCTACAGGCGCCGCGTGGATGGATGCGTCCCCCCTGGGACATCGGCACTGGCAAATCCCGGCAGACTTCGAATTTGGACTGGTACTGCGATGTGATAGCACCAGGCATCATTCATTATATCTACAGTTAAAGTAACACATGTGACCAAATCACCTTATATCATCAGATCTCAAAGCTATGAGCCTGGATAGTGCTTGAATGGGCGACCACCAGGTGTTATGGGCTGCGTGGCTGTGATGGGTAGAGCAGTGCAGCAAAACCAATTGTGCATCCATTAAACTCTACAGCTGTCTCCCTGCGTGTTCACCAACCCGCACTGATCAGCTTTGGTGAAGTATGGTTAAATCAACGCCCCTTGACCGACACGCAGGGGGAAGGTCCTCATCCAGCAGTGGATTGATGCGAAAGGTCTGCACATGTACTACGTTTCGTGGTATATCCGTATAATGATTTTGTACGTATTATTAGGAAGGCCGTATTTCCGTGTGTTTAACAGTACTGAGTTGAATGTGTATATATGGGCTGTTATCTATACGTAAACACATCCCCAGTAACGCCTGCACTTGCTGTGCACCGAGTCTAACGAGATGCAGGAACCCAGAGTCTTAATGAGCTACCCCTGGACACACCGAGCGCATCAATGGGGCTTCAAGACTTCCAAGAGGTTACATCAAGTCTTCCCGAATCAACATCAAAACCTCGTGCTGAGCTCCACACCTCCTCGCATCCCGGCATGGAAGCGTCACTCAGCGCGGATTCAACTCAGACAGACCCAGACAGAGGCGGCAACTCACGCTTCAGACGGTTCCAGGTGCAGGGTCTCCAGGTTCCAGGTGCAGGTTCTCTGGGTGATGTACGCACGGAACTGAGTGACCCTGGCTGTTTCTTCATTGAATTCAATGCAGCCCCGCACCGCGTCATCGCGAATCTCCCATCTCAGTGGCTGCACGCTGCAGTGACTGCTCTGTAATTATTCACCTTCTCACGTCACCCTCACCTGCACACGTCCCAGAGACACCACGTCCAGGAGACCAATCGAGTGGGCGGAAACTCTGTGGGTTCGGCAAATTTCACATATTTTTGTTAACCTCTCACCCCAGTCTGGAATTGAACCGAGACGGTTTGAGTCGGGACGGCCCCGCGTGCTGACGCCGGGATCTGTGCAGAGAGAGAGAGAGAGAGCTCTCACCTGGCAGGTCTTCCGGGTTCCCTGCCCGTGCACGGCAGGACCAGGTGTGTGCATGTGTGTGATAAATACACCCACGTGTGTGCGTGCACAGGGAGCTTCATTACGCACACAGCAGGCGTGGTGGTGTGTCGGCTTTTATGTGGAGGTGGGGAGCCGTGGTGCAGCGGTTAACACGCTTAGCCACGAACCCGGCGACCCGAATTATATTCTCGTTCACGGTCATCACCAGTGACGATAATCTGGACCAGTCCTGGACTATCCATCCCGGACTCGGCCTCAAATCCGTACCCTGGTGCTGTGTGTCAACATCGCCCCTGGGGAGACAAAGGCGGCCGAGCGTAGTTGCTGGTCACCGACTACCACGTGGGCTGTGTCGGCCTACATAGGTGCTCGCTTACAACACTTGCCCCAGCAGTCTGTCAAGGCTACACGGGGGATCTTTGTCTTTGTGTGTAGGTGTGCATGTGTGCCTACGTGTAATAGCGGGCAATGGGATTATTCTGCTTTTGGGATGTAGGATACCGCTCTACAGACGGCGAATGGCTTGTGGTTCAAGAGATTTGGGACATCTTGGGTGAGCTTGCCTGCCCCGTGCGAAAAAACAATCGGCCTCCAAGGCGGATTATTCCGGGTTAAAAATAAATGTTTTTTTTGGCATGTTTGCATTTAAAGAGATTCGAGATGCAGCTAACCTAGACGGGCTATAATGTGCCGTAGCTCAATAATGCATGCAGATCAAAAGCTAGCAGGCGAATGTGGTTTAATATTTTATTATTTTACAACACAACAAAATTAAAACAATGATCTAATAACCAGAAAAGTCGCTACACGCATCTAGCTGTCGTGGTGTAAGGGGTAGCACGGCTGCCGCTGAAGCTGGTGATCCAGGTGCACGTCCTGGGATTTATTTTTTGCTAATTTACAAATCACGCGATTACATCATCGAGTGTGTTTATTATCGCACGTGGAGCCCTGTGACGTCGTCACTGCTCGGTGGTCGAGTGGGGAGCACGTGGGGCTCAAAATAATGGAGTCCTGCGTTCAAATACAACCTTTAAAATTAACCCGTAAAAACAAAGTTTTTCACTATAAATCCTTTATATGCGTGGCATCGGTTTTATTTTATTATTCATTTCTGTTTTTCTTGAGTAAGAGTTTCATTTTTATCAAATTGGTATTTTAAATTAAATATGAACAAAAAAATTCCTAAAAAGTGGAACATTTTGGAGAAAAAATGTCACGAAAATAAATTGTCACGCACAACGAGTCTGTGTGCAAAATGTCAGCTCGATTGGATCACGGGAAGTGGGTTAGAAAACGACCGAAAGATTTGCACGGTCGTAAGCGCGCAAGCAAGCAAGTGAACTTAATATAAAGGATTTAATAAAGGATTTAAAAAGTAAGATTATTAGTTCGGCAAATTCAAGCACAAATGCAAAATGTAACTCGTAATTTTATTTTTCATACATTAAAAAAAACATGCAACGACAACGCCGATGTTGTAATAACCGCGACGTAGGTAACATCCGTGAGTCTGCGTGGTGTAGTTGGCCATCACAACTGCCTCCGAGCCCGTAGCTACCGGGTTCAAATTCCACATTCGGTTTTTTGTTGATTTATAAATCAGGCGGCGGCGACGTCACGGCCTATATTTACACAGCCATGTGGGCCCCGTGCAATCACTCCACCACGCGGAGCGCCGTGCACCGGTGTGAAGAGTCGGTGGCGCAAGGCGGTGAGAGACAACCCGGAGTCGTGGAGGCACGAGGTTCCATCCCCGGCAAAGGTTCGAGGTGAATAAACACGAAGCGCAAGATAAGTGCCGTGTGTGTCCCTATTAATGTGTCTGTCCCTCCCTACTAACGTGTGTGTCTGTCCCTCCCCACTAGTGTGTCTGTCCCTCCCTACTATTGTGTGTGTGTCTGTCTGCCCCTCCCTACTAACGTGTGTGTGTGTGTCTGTCTGTCCCTCCCTACTAGTGTGTCTGTCCCTCTCTACTAGTGTGTGTCTGTCCCTCCCTACTAGTGTGTGTGTGTCTGTCTGTCCCTCCCTACTAGTGTGTGTGTCTGTCCCTCCCTACTAGTGTATGTGTGTGTCTGTCTGTCCCTCCCTACTAGTGTGTGTGTCTGTCCCTCCCTACTAGTGTGTCTGTCCCTTCCTACTAGTGTGTCTGTCCCTCCCTACTAAAGTGTGTGTGTCTGTCCCTCCCTACTAGTGTGTCTGTCCCTCCCTACTAGTGTGTGTGTGTCTGTCTGTCCCTCCCTACTAGTGTGTGTGTCTGTCCCTCCCTACTAGTGTATGTGTGTGTCTGTCTGTCCCTCCCTACTAGTGTGTGTGTCTGTCCCTCCCTACTAGTGTGTGTGTGTGTGTCCCTCCCTACTAGTGTGTGTGTCTGTCCCTCCCTACTAGTGTGTGTGTGTGTGTCTGTCCCTCCCTACTAGTGTGTGTGTGTCCCTCCCTACTAGTGTGTGTGTCTGTCCCTCCCTACTAGTGTGTGTGTGTGTCCCTCCCTACTAGTGTGTCTGTCCCTCCCTACTAGTGTGTCTGTCCCTCCCTACTAACATGCGCCTGTCCCTCCCTACTAGTGTGTCTGTCCCTCCCTACTAGTGTGTCTGTCCCTCCCTACTAGTGTGTCTGTCCCTCCCTACTAACATGCGCCTGTCCCTCCCTACTAGTGTGTCTGTCCCTCCCTACTAACATGCGCCTGTCCCTCCCTACTAGTGTGTCTGTCCCTCCCTACTAACATGCGCCTGTCCCTCCCTACTAGTGTGTCTGTCCCTCCCTACTAAAGTGTGTGTGTCTGTCTGTCCCTCCCTACTAGTGTGTCTGTCCCTCCCTACTAACGTGTGTGTCTGTCCCTCCCTACTAACGTGTCTGTCCGTCCCTACTAGTGTGTGTGTCTGTCCCTCCCTACTAGTGTGTGTGTGTCTGTCCCTCCCTACTAGTGTGTGTGTCTGTCCCTCCCTACTAGTGTGTGTGTGTGTGTCCCTCCCTACTAGTGTGTGTGTCCCTCCCTACTAATGTGTCTGTCCCTCCCTACTAAAGTGTGTGTGTCTGTCCCTCCCTACTAGTGTGTCTGTCCCTCCCTACTAGTGTGTGTGTGTCTGTCTGTCCCTCCCTACTAGTGTGTGTGTCTGTCCCTCCCTACTAGTGTATGTGTGTGTCTGTCTGTCCCTCCCTACTAGTGTGTGTGTGTGTGTCCCTCCCTACTAGTGTGTGTGTGTCTGTCCCTCCCTACTAGTGTGTGTGTGTGTCTGTCCCTCCCTACTAGTGTGTGTGTGTCCCTCCCTACTAGTGTGTGTGTCTGTCCCTCCCTACTAGTGTGTGTGTGTGTCCCTCCCTACTAGTGTGTCTGTCCCTCCCTACTAGTGTGTCTGTCCCTCCCTACTAACATGCGCCTGTCCCTCCCTACTAGTGTGTCTGTCCCTCCCTACTAGTGTGTCTGTCCCTCCCTACTAGTGTGTCTGTCCCTCCCTACTAGTGTGTCTGTCCCTCCCTACTAACATGCGCCTGTCCCTCCCTACTAGTGTGTCTGTCCCTCCCTACTAAAGTGTGTGTGTCTGTCTGTCCCTCCCTACTAGTGTGTCTGTCCCTCCCTACTAACGTGTGTGTCTGTCCCTCCCTACTAACGTGTCTGTCCGTCCCTACTAGTGTGTGTGTCTGTCCCTCCCTACTAGTGTGTGTGTGTCTGTCCCTCCCTACTAGTGTGTGTGTGTGTCCCTCCCTACTAGTGTGTGTGTGTGTGTCCCTCCCTACTAGTGTGTGTGTGTGTGTCCCTCCCTACTATGTGTCTGTCCCTCCCTACTAAAGTGTGTGTGTCTGTCCCTCCCTACTAACATGCGCCTGTCCCTCCCTACTAGTGTGTCTGTCCCTCCCTACTAAAGTGTGTGTGTCTGTCCCTCCCTACTAGTGTGTGTGTCTGTCCCTCCCTACTAAAGTGTGTGTGTCTGTCCCTCCCTACTAACGTGCGCCTGTCCCTCCCTACTAAGGTCTGTCTGTCCCGACTAGCGTGTGTGTACCTACAATGTGAATGTATTAACATCTCCCAGTGTATAAAAAGCAGGCGGAGAGGTGGAGCAGCAGCCCACATCATGGAGACCTGGACCAGCTGTGAAGGAAACGTGGTGCAAGGAATACATAGTTTTTTTGCATTAAGTGTTATTTTATTACAAATATACATTTTCGCAAAATCACCTGCCCAGCCTCTAAAGGGTACGTGACACCGCTAAAAACAGTCATTGATATCCCACGGGGAGCATTGCCATTGCTGGAATTTGGCATTCCATTGCTGTTTTCATTAAAAACATTTTTTTTACAAAAAAAACAAAACTAACCACACGATTTATTTCAGATAAATACCGTGCAATATTACAACGCGACTAAATTTAGCTGTTTAAAGCTTTAAAACCCACAAAACGGTCAAGTCACTCCTATGACACACACACACACACTGCAAAAGGCCCTCATCCAGCAGTGGATTGACAGAAGTCATGCAGCTGTACACACAGCGACCAGCAACGGTTCCCAACGGAGGGCAACATCCCCAAACCGACTACATCCAACTGCCCACGTCTTTAATAAAAAAAACATTAAGGGTGAATTGCGACAGGGTTTTTTTGTTTAACAGAAAAATACCACTGCAAGCAACGCCAATTGTGTCTAACATGCAACACAGAACCCGAGGTGTGAAATCCCGTTGTGAAAATCACAGTGAGTGAACATTCCGAAGACCATTCTCTCCCCGACCTCTCCCCTCTCACCTCACTCAACTCTACCCGTGCTCTCATCCAAGGCTGTAGCCATGGAGTCAACATTGGGGGGGACCAAATCTTCCCCCCAGAAAAACAAATCTAAATTTGAAAACGAATTTCCTGCCTAAAATATAAAAAAATTCACGAACACATAGGATGGATTTTTTTTTTACAATGTCTAATAGTGTATTGTATTACATTGCTGTTTTTTTTCTTTTTTACCTTTTCTTGTTTCATTGTATGTAATGGCAGAGATTAGAGATTAATAAAGTACAACCATAACCACAATCATATAAACATAAATCTATTTTATAGCAATATATTGGGGGGGACATTTTGAGCATGTTTGAATATTGGGAGGGATGTGTCACCCAATATATATTATAAGTATGGCCTTGCGCTCATCTACCTAATTACCCGTACAATTCAAGTAACACCTGTGACGAAGTCCCCCGATATCATCGGATCTCAAAAGCTAAGCAAGACTGAGCCTGGATAGTGCTTTAATGGGCGACCACCAGGTGCTCTAGGCTGCTTGGCTGTGATGGGCAGTACAGAGCAGTGCAGAAGAAAAACAATAGTGCATCAACAGAACTCTACGTCTGTCTCCCTGCGTGTTCAACCAACTCGCACTGAGCAGCTTTGCTGAAGTATGGTTAAACAGCGCCCACTGATCGACACACAGTGGGGATGTCCTCATTCAGCAGCGGATTGATAAGAACGGTCTGTGCATGTACGTACGATTAGTGGTGATTGTGTACGTATTATGATATTGTACGTGTTATCACGGGCTAGAGAAAATATGGACTGATGTGGTGCCGGAGGATGTCGAGCTGGGTGGACCTGCTGCATTATGGTACCAGCGGTGTCAAGGTCGGCCTCTGGAGGGGATTCGTGAATGACGCTGCTACTGGGCAGTTGGAGGCAGTCGCCTTCCAACAGCGGAGGACAGAGGAGCGACGCTCACAACAACGAGCGGAGCGACGGGCGCTTAAAACGCCAAGTTGGCGCAGTAGGGGACACAGGTGGTGCATCTGCCAGTAATCTCAGTCAACAGGTGGCACCTGCAGGGTCTGTCCCGTGACCTCCTTCCAGCGGACCATCGACATTTCACGTGGCCTCAAAGTGCACCTCAAAGTGCACCTAGCATGGCACAATCGTGGTGACGTCATCGCCACTTCGTGGTGAACGGCGACTATTATTAAATACAGATTTCCACGTGGTTAACATTACGTGGTCAACATTACGTGGTTAACATTACGTAGTTAACATTACGTGGTCAACATTACGTGGTCAACATTACGTGGTCAAACATTATGTACGAGTTGAATGTATAGAGGTGGACCTTTGTACACAAACGCAAATAAAATAAACAAACATCCTTCGTATAGCCTCAAACTTTTGGGGCAAGTGCTGTTAGTGGGTAGCACCTATGAAGGCCGTCACGCCACACGAGGGGGTGGGTTAGCCAGCACCACGCCCGACCGTCTTTGTATCCCTCGTGGCGATGTTTACACACCGAGGCCGAGTCGACCAAACAGAGGCCCAGGACCGGTTCAGACAATCGTCACTGGTGTTGGTGGCCGTGACTCGGAATCGAACTAGGGATGCCGGGTCGATAGCGCAGCGCACTGCTGGGTATGTAAACACATACCCAGTAACACCTACACTCACTGTGCACGGATTATAACGAGATTGAGGAACCATGACTCTTAATGAGATACACACAGAGCGCATCAATGGGGCTTTACGATTTTCAATGGGTGAAATAAACTATTCCGAAATCAACATGAACACCCTGTGCCAAGCTTCACACCTCCTTCCCCGATTCACATCCCGGCATGGAAGCGTCACTCAGCGCGGATACATCTCAGACATCAGCACTGGGGAGGCGGCAACTCACGCTTCAGACGCCTCCAGGTGCAGGGTTCCCAGACTCCAGTTGCAGGATCTATAGATACTATACACACGCAGCTCTGTTTCATTCTTCAATTCCGCCCCGCACCGCGTCTATGTGAATCTCCCATCTCAGTGGCTGCACGCTGCAGTGACTGCTCTATAATTATTCACCTGGTCACGTCACCTCCACCCGCAGACGTCCCAGAGACAACGCAACCCGGAGCCCAATCGGATCTGTGGAAACTCTGCGGTCCGGGGAACTTCCCATGTTGTCCGTAACCTCTCACCCCAGTCTGGAATTGAACCGAGACGCCAGCGATTTGAGTCGGGCCGGGCCCGTGTGGCGACGCCGGAAGCTGTAGAGAGAGAGAGAGAGAGCTCACCTGGCCGGTCTTCCGGGTTCCCTACCTGTGCGTTGTCAGGACCACGTGTGCGTTGTCAGGACCACGTGTGCGTTGTCAGGACCACGTGTGCGTTGTCAGGACCACGTGTGCGTTGTCAGGACCACGTGTGCGGTGTCAGGACCACGTGTGCGGTGTCAGGACCACGTGCGCGTTGTCAGGACCACGTGTGTTTGTGTGTACAGAGAAAAGCACTCAGACGCTCGCATAGAGTAGCATGCAAAAATACCTAAAGATCCCCCGTATAGCCCTAACAGACTGTTGGGACAAGTGCTGTTAGCGAGTGCCGGCACGGAACAAGGGTGGCCATAACCACGCCCGACTGCCTTTGTCTCCCCAGTGGCGATGTTTGCACACCGCGCCAGTTACTCATTTGAGGCTGAGTCAACCTACGTGATGCCCAGGACCGGTTCAGACAATCGTCACTGGTGTTGTCGGCCGTGAGCGGGAGTCGAACCCGGGTCGCTGGGTTCGTAGCGCAACGTAGTTCAATGAATCCATGGCGATACTCAACCAATCGTTTTCCGGAGCAAAATATCTGAACGTCAAAAAAACAAACGCCACGACAGTGCGAGGAGCGAAGCTGCCGGCAGCTGCGAGTTTCGAGCCGTCGCGGTCGAAGTCGAGGGGGCCGCGGTGATGCGGGTGGCGATGCCATACACCACCCCCTCGGGGAAGGCGTGAACTCGCACCGCGTGAACCACGTGGACTTGCACTGTCTGAACCACGTGGCCTTGCACCGCGTGCACCGCGTGAACCACGTGGCCTTGCACAGCGTGCACCGCGTGAACCACGTGGCCTTGCACCGCGTGCACCGCGTGAACCACGTGGCCTTGCACCGCGTTCACCGCGTGAACCACGTGGACTCGCACCGCGTGAACCACGTGGCCTTGCGCCGCGTGAACCACGTGGACTTGCACCGCGTGAACCACGTGGACTCGCACCGCGTGAACCACGTGGCCTTGCTCCGCGTGAACCACGTGAACTCGCACCGCGTGAACCACGTGGCCTTGTCCCGCGTGAACCACGTGAACTCGCACCGCGTGAACCACGTGGCCTTGCCCCGCGTGAACCACGTGAACTCGCACCGCGTGAACCACGTGGCCTTGCCCCGCGTGAACCACGTGAACTCGCACCGCGTGAACCACGTGGCCTTGCCCCGCGTGAACCACGTGAACTCGCACCGCGTGAACCACGTGGCCTTGCCCCGCGTGAACTCGCTCCGTGTAGTTGGACCCTGCCCACTCGACACACCACGCAACCCACGTGCGCTCACATTTAAGAATCGCCCACAGATGACACAACTGGAAAATCACGCTACAGCACGGCTATTGTCGCCCCCTTCTATGAATCTCACTAAAACCAGATCAGCTGGAATGCGTCCGATCGTGTTGGGTGTCAGAAGCTAAGCGATGAGCCTGGTTAGTGTCGAGTACCGGGAGGTGGCAGTGCAGCAAGTAGGCTCACTTCGCAGACGATGGCAATGCATGGGATGTGCGCGCGTGTGTGTATTTAATCTGTCTTCGCAGAGCTTTGAGTGCCATCTCCTCTCGGCATCCTTAGGATTTCTCAAGGTTCTCTGGTTTCCTCTCACGTGGCCAAGCAATCGAAGATGGAAGTGGCTAATGGATTCCCAACGTAATTACAACAACTTTATTATTATTATTACGGGGCTTGCGTAACGTGTTTCACACAACGGTCAATGACGTTGGCAGCGAGAGCGCGGGGTAGGGGAGACGTCACGCGGCAGGTGTCGCGGTGGCCGTGATGTGGCGTCCGGGGAGCGGTGGCGCAGCGGTTAGCGCGCTGAGCTACGACCCCGGCGATCCGGGTTCTATTCCCGCTCACGGTCAACACCGGTGACGATTTACGTGAACCGGTCCTGGGCCTCCCCCTAGGTCGACTCAGCCTCAAATGAGTACCTGGCGCGATGCGATCAGGCGTGATGCTGGCAACCCACCCCCTCGCGTGCCGTTCCGACCTTCATAGGTACTTGCCCTAAAAGTATGTTAAGGCTATACGGGGATCTTTGCCTTGTTATGTGGTTTAATGGTCTTAGCCTTCGCCTGCTTTTTTATCGGCGTCAGCATCAGACTCGTACACAGGGCCCAAGAGGAACTCGCTTGTCAACCCCCTAATGGCCTGGCTTGGATTCGGCACCTTGTCAAAAAAGTTTCCGATGTATTGGCTGAAACAAAAGTTGAAGATCTCAACATTTTGCAACCTAAAATGTGGGGTGCCCAAGATGTAGAATTTATATAATTATGAATTGTAAATACGATACCTCATTCGAATTCAGCGCTCTTTCAAGCCTGCGAGCAGGAGATCAAGGGTTTAAAACGAGGTCTCGGAGAAGACGCAGCACGATTTTGATTTAAAGCTTTCGTGACTGCAGGGATTCATATTCTTGGTTCTTTCGGTAAAGTCATGTTGAAGCGAAATAATAAATAAGAATGAAATATTTTTTATTTATTAAAATAAAATATTATTTTATTATTATAAATAATAATAAAATATTATTTTATTATTTCCCATCACGTCGAAGGGGAAACATAAATAATAATGAAATATTTCATTATTATAAATAATAATACAATATTATTTTATTATTATAAACAATAACAAAATATTATTTTATTATTATAAATAATAATAAAATATTATTTTATTATTTCCCTTCTACGTGACTTTACCTAAAGAACCAAGAATAAGCAGCACAATGTTCCTTTTTTTTAACCTCTGGTCCACTCGTTCAAACCTGCACATCGCTAGCACCTGCAACCATAACAAATGGTCCATTACACGAACCTCAGCGTTGTTTGGCGATTGAACGGTTTCAAAGAAATGCGCGCACAGAGACGCACAGAGGAGACACAACGCGCGTCGAAACGCCTCGCCGTCACCCCGAGGCGCGTTGCCTGCTCCCGCTCAACACCCTTCCTGGGCTGATGAACACGGCGAACCGATATTGTTTTCGATAATCAATACATTTAATTGCATTCCTCCACGCCGCTCGCCCCCCCCCCCCCATAAAAAGCATGCATATCTGGGGCATAAATTGTACCCACAAAAGAGTGGTTAACACCGTGTGATCTCAAGCTGACTCCAGGTTACCTGATCAGGGTTAAACAAATGCTGCACCGGAACACATTGATCCGAAAGTGATTTTGGATGCTGGGTCTCAAAGTGTGTTTAATTGCCAATTAAATATACGCTTCGTGAGTTTATTAATGTATGTACCTACCCGCTTGTTGTCTCGTCTGAAGCCCCATGGGCTGCTTGAGTAGAGCCTCCCAGCTGCTGAAATTCCAATTGCGCCTGCGTGTTTGGTGTCACGTGTGGCCACATCACCCGAAATGCACCCAACCTCTTCAGATATGTGTGACTGCCATGCACAGCAGGGTGCTATAGGCTGCTGCAAGGCTATGCGGTGAGGAGCAGAAGGCAGTACAGCAAAAGTGCATAATTGTACGGTGATTATACGCTTCCCACCTCCACCGACTCGCACTGAGCAGTGTGGTGAAGGGTGGTCGGTGTGACCTGCATTTGGAGGTCCTCTGCCACCCGTGGCTTGACAAAGGGCTACACGTGCACAGTTTTGTGCCACCATCCACGTGGCTCTGGCTGTCATTATTTATCCGTTCGTTCACACTGGGAATACTCACCGAGACGCAGGGCTCTTGTTCGGGAGGGTCCTGCCAAGTTTTCCCAGTAGGGGGCGATGTTGCTGCTGCGTCTGATCCCAATTGAGTAAATTGCAGGTAGTTTTTGCAGCATTGGGCGGTTTGGCTAATACCAGGGGTCTCAGCTATGGGAAGTAACCAGAGAACCCGGATAAAACCCCATGGCGAACAGAGGGCGAACAGAGGGAGAATAGAGGGCGAACAGAGGGCGAACAGAGGGCGAACAGAGGGCGAACAGAGGGAGAACAGAGGGAGAACAGAGGGAGAACAAACCACACTCCACAAATAAAGGCGCCAGAGTCGGGCATCGAACCTAGGCCCTTCTCGCCGCAAGGCGCACGCGTCACCACCGTGCTACCCTGCCGCACATAAAGCCTCCCAAAGCAGTGGCGCCGCGTGGTTGGCATGAGTCCTGGTGGGTTCTGGGGGGGGGGGGGGGGCTGGTGGGTTCCTGGGGGGTCCTGGGGGGTCCTGGCGTAAGGAATAATGGGGATCTGTGTCCACCCCCCCCCCCACACCCCTCTGCATACCCCGACGCCTGGGCTCCCCAGGCCCTTGTTTCTCTCCGTTGCAGTTGCACCGCCTGCACACTCGGCAGCTCTGTGCCACCGTCCCAAACACTTCGGCCCCATTTCGCCGATGGGGCTCTCGCTGAGCAACCGCACGGAAATTTTGATGGAATGGGCACAAAATCGAACGCAACGATGGGGAATGATGAGCGACGTGGTGAGTGGACAAAGAGGGGGCCCTCGATGGAGCAAAGCAGCCGCCTTTTGCACAAGCGCGCAACTCATTCCCGAATGAAAACGCAGTTTTACTCCAACGAGCTGACGTTATTGCTCTTGGCTACCACTGTGTGTGTGCATCAGCAATATTTTGATTCCCCTCTGTGTTGTTAGATATATTGTGTTTGTACATGTGTGTGTGTGGGGGTTGTTGTGTGTGGCGAGGGGGGGTTAGTGCAGCGGTTAGCGCGCTGTACTACGAACCTGGCGCCCCGAGTTCGATTCCCACTCACGGCCAACACCAGTGACGATTATGTGAACCGATCCTGGGCACCCCCTAGGTTGACTCAGCCTCAAATAAGTACCTGGTGCTGGCCACCCACTTCCCTCGTGTGGCGTGCCGGCCTTCATATGTGCTCGCTAACAGCACTTGCCCCAACAGTCTGTTTGGGCTAAACGAGGGACGATTATAATCTGAACCAGTCCTGGACTATCCCTAGGTGGACTCGGCCTCAAATCCGTACCCTGGTGCTGTGTGTAAACTTCGCCCCTGGGGAGACAAAGGCGGCCGAGCGTAGTTGCTGGT